ATCTATTATTAGTATTACTATTACCCAATTAATCTATTTATATGGTTATTATCTTTATTCATCTATATTATTTCTGCCGTTATATCTATTTATTATTCTTCAATATTATTATTGTCTAATATTTAGTGTTCTTTTAATATTATCCATATAAGCATTTTACTATCATTCTCCCTCATTATTATTAATCCATTTTAATCTATGATTATTTATATTATCTTTCTAATATTATTAATCTATAATTCATTTATATTAGCATTAACAATATTATCCATTATAAATATGTTCTTTCATCCCTTATTAATTATCATTGCTTATTATAACATCTTAATTATTAAATTTACATTGTTAGAATCTCGAAACGTTATTCTGATATTGTACGAAATTTCTATTAAAAATCATGATTAATATTTTATTTTTTTTTTTTATTTATATTAGTCTATGTTAGATTGTTAATTATGTATTCAACATTATCAATTATTATTTTATTTTATATATTATTTTTTTTATATGTTTATTCATATAGTTTATTTAGTTTATTTTTATATTATATCATTATTGCTTATTCTTTAATTCTGTAATGTCTATGTGTTATACATTGTTGTATTTATTATAATACTTTTATAATGTTTGAGATATTATTACTTTATTTATATACGTTCTCTAATTTAATTATTTATTTATGGCTATCTATTACATTCATTAATTTTAGATGGAATGTATATATTTTATTTATCTTTAGTATTCTGTTATATTTTATTACGATTAGAACCATTATTGATTATCATAGTTATCATATTATTCTGTACCAAAAATCTAATTTCATATAATACTTTGTTATGTTAATTGCATATAATTCATTACTATATCATGTTGTAGTGTGTTGTGGTGTATGTGTTTATGATGAGTTGTATTTGTGTGTATGTGTGTGTGTTGATTATGTCGGTATTTGAATTTTATTATTAATTTGTTAAGTTTATTGCTATTATCTTCTAATATAATTTTTCCATAACTATCATTATTTTTAGTGTATTTATAATCTATTATCTATTCTATTAATTCATTATTTCTCAAGTAGTCACTTTATTAATTATTATTTCTAAACCTATTCATCACAACTATATATCCATTGTAATTTATTATATTTCTATTCAATTATCCCTTTAATCTCCGCGCGTTTTTATTATTTTCTTTGTTGTTTGTTATCATTCCTCTTCATCTTTACTGTTCATCAATATAACATTATCCAGGCAATTATCATCTATTACCATCTGGCATATCGCTCAATCATCCACGTTATGAGAAGATCACATTCCATTATTACACATTATCCATTTGCTAATATTTTTCCTTGTTTCCTTCATCCACTATGCTTTCCCATCTCCCATTCCTGTCATCCCTCATCACCCCTCTCCATCCTTCATTATTATCTACTTATTTCATTATCATTATTCATTATTATTATCTATTCTTTTTTTATTATTATTCATTTTGTTTTTTTTTTTTTTTTATTCTATATTATTATTTTTTTTATTATTTTTTTTTTTTTTTTTATCATTATCATTATTATTTCCTCTTTTATATATATATACTTTATTATTATTTTTATATTTTCATTATATTCCATTTCTAGTATGGTTAATTATATAATATGATTTTATATATTTTTTTCTTTAAATTATATTTATCATTTATTCTTTTCATTTATCTTATTATTCTGTTTGTTATTTTATTATTATTATTTTTATATTTTATTATTATTCTCATAATCATTATTCATAATCAATATTTCATTCATTATCAATATATTATATTATCAATATTACATTGAATTATATTATCCGATCTTCATAATATTGTTGTTTTTTTGTTATTATTAACATATTTATTCTTATTCAGGGTCAGTCATAATAATGCTAATGCTAATAATGATATTAATAATAACAATGATATCTATAGCAATAATAATGGTAATTATAATAACTTTTACCATTACTATTGCTACAGTCAATGATTTCAATTTTCAATTATTATATCATTATTATTATTATTATCATCAG